CACTGTATTAGACAATATTTCAGGGCTATTCACAAAAATTTCCAGTAATGTATCAGACAATGTTTCACTACTATTCATAAGGTTTTCACTGGCCAATTCTGTGAGAAGTGTATGGCCTTTTCCTTATTCTGAGTCTGTCTCAGTCTGGAAGCTCCACCGAAACTGGCCACCATGGGCACCCCTGCTGGCACAACCTCTAGCCTCACAGCAACATGCAAGCCACCACAGTACAACAAACCAACAGACAACTTCGTCTCCCTTAGCTGTTCCAACCACACTGCTCACTTCCTGGGCTACGCCCTGCCTGTCCCTGCGGCCCTGTCTGCCACTGCTCCCTGCTGCTTAGGGGCTGTCCCCCACCTGGTTTAAATATTCTGGCCACCAGAACTGGCAGAAAGAGCCTGGTCTCTGAAAAACTAGGCTGTGTCCTTCCACATCTGTCCATCATCTGGAAAGCATTAACCCTTGGAGGTGGTACAGGAATGGTGGAAAGCTCTTTGCCAATGTCAGTCCCTGGCAGTAAAGCCAAAATTTCAAGAAGGACCTAAATCCTCTGCACAACATGCAGCCCATAGTATGCACATGGCCATCTCTCAAATCCAATAGGACTGCCCCAGCCCTGCACTCTCTGAGCTGGATGTTCACTCAGAGCCAGGCCTTTTCTATCTCATAGAGGTTCCACCCTTCCTCCTACCTTCCATCTGCCCTTACTTCTGAATTCCATAGATAGATCTTGGGGGTCAGATTCACCAGGGTTCAAACACCAGCTCTACTATTCTTCCTGGTGACAAACTCCCCAGGTCAAGGAGATACAGGGCATATGGCAGGAAAGCTGCAGTGTTCACAGCACAGGGATTGGGAAAAGTTTGGTTAGAGGATCAAGACACATAGCCTGGTACTGCTTCTGAAAGCCTGCAACAGCTGGGCCATGGCATAGACAGATAGGAGTATAGTTCTGAGCATCTCCCAAGAGAATGATAATTCAAGCAAGGAAAATTGATTTTTACTTGTTTCTAAACACAGTGGAAAATCTTTGTTCAGACTAATTAGAGATTATTTGAAAATAAAAGAGCTATACATAACTTTTCCATGCTCTGTCACTCCAGGCGGGAGCTCTGGTAGCATAGTGCCTAAGGCACTTGACTGCTAACCAGAAGGCTTGTGGTTCAAACCCACCAGCCATTCCTCGGAAGGAAGGTTGGGCAATCTACTTCCATAGTGATACTGCCTTGGAAACCCAAAGAGGGGTTGCTATGAGTCAAGTCTGACTGGGTGGCACACAACAACAACAATTACTCCAGGCAGTTGCGGAGGTCAGAGGCTACTGCACCCATCTGGAGAAACCTGCACTATGGTTTGTTTCTTGCCCTGTATCTCTCATCCCACATTGCCCCAGCATCCTTGAGGGCTTTTCATCCAGGCCAACAGCACATGCACCCTTCCACTCACTCAAGACTGCCTGCTGCCTCAAGGCCTGGGAGCCTGGAGAAGCTCCCCTTCCTCAAAGCTGGCATTTTCTGACAACAGCTTCAGACGCTGAGTATCAATAGACTATCTTGTTCCAGCAGCATCTTAAATGGACATCCTATATAGAAGAAGGATCCCAGAGGAACAATTTCACTTGGAGTGGGGTGGGGTCTTCCCCCTGGCCACCCCCACCCTCCTTCCTTGTGGCACCCTGAGGAGACTCCCAAAAATGACAAGACTGGTTTCCAAAACCTCTGACCTCCGCAACTGCCTGGAGTAATTGTTGTTGTGTGCCACCCAGTCAGACTTGACTCATAGCAACCCCTCCTTGGGTTTCCAAGGCAGTATCACTATGGAAGTAGATTGCCCAACCTTCCTTCAGTATGTAAACCTTCTTGTCTCAGCCTGAACCCTGGTCAACCCACTTAGGCCTATGCTCCAGAGCACCCAGATGCACCTGTTCAATCAGGAAGATTAATGTAGAAAAAAGAAAAGGGGAAGGGAAGAACCACCAGAGCCCATAGGCCTCCCCCAGGTGGCCAGTGAGTCTCATGCCCTGAGTCATCCTAAGCAGGAGGCAAGTGTGCTTCAGCCATCCTTCAGGGAAAAGGCAAGGATTCTTTAAAATCCTCCTGCCACATCATGGGCTTCTCAAGCCTTAATAATATAGTTATTGGTGGACAATGGCATTTTGTCCCCTGAGCAACTACTAGAAGAAGATGACTTGATAGGAAGGAGTTGACAGGATTTGTGTTTAGGAGTATGAAGAGCAGATGTTAAGATTCCTTTAGTCAGTTAAAACAGTATTTGGAAACAAAAAGGAATTCAGAAGGAAGAAAATAAATTGTGTGTTTATAACAAAGCTTTAATTATTGACATTCCTCCATGGCAGGTGCTTTGTTCATAAGGCTCTGCAAGATTTTGTAGGCACTCTTGTTCCCATAGCAGCAGCTTCTTTCCTGGACTCTTGCCTGAGGCTCTAGGAGTGCCTTGGCCAGTCTAGAGGGTGCACAAAGGTAAATGAGACCCTTCCTTGGAGCACTTTTGAATATGAATTTCTGGAGTTTTGTTCATGTGGGAAACAACATCGCCCCCTTCCAGCCCCTGGCCCTCTGGGACCCTGATGCCCACTGAGCTGGGTCAACAGAGATGTAAGAGCTACAGAAGGCTCCCCTGGCCCTGCCTGCACGGAGGGGCCAGGTATGTCCTCCCAAGGACTGCCGAGTAATCCACAGGACACCTAGGGATAGGGATGAGGACCTAAGGAAGTCTTAACCATGTGTCACTCTCCTACCCCTCACCCTAGGCAGGGTAGAGCAGCTGCAGCCTAGACCAGAGCCAGCCTGGGACAGGGCTAGTGCCACAATGCCAATAGTTCACCTTCCTAGAAGCAGGAAACAGCTTTCTTTCACCTTCTCCCATTTACTGTTAATTATCCTGGGCATAAGAGGTGAAGAAACCCAAAGCTGGGATCATTGTGAAAGGTGGCACAAGGGAACAGTTGTAAAAGGACTGCTAATGTAATGCTACAGTGAAACTTCCATGCACTGAGTGCTCTGAGCCCTGGGCCCAGCCCTAGTCTTACCACCTCCTGAGAAGTGCCTTTTGTAGAGAGATCCTAGATCCAGGTGGTTTGAATGGGGGGATGGGCCTGGCTCAGGAGTGGTAGATTGGGCTTGACTCAACCCATCTTCCCACATAGCCCACATTTGAGCCAGACACACTATTTTGTGTGCCCCCAGAGGACAGGGCAGGACCCTTGGGAGCTTAAGGAAGACACATTTCTGCTCAAAGTTAGGATGATCTTCTGAGAGTCAGTATCTATGAAGGAAAAGGAAGAAGGTGGGAACTTCCTGCCACAGGGGTATCTATGTCAAGGCTGCTTTACCCTGCTTTGTCTTTTGAGTAGGGCCCTTGTGGCCTTCCTGGAGTTCCAGATTAATGCTGTGGGGAGTTTGGGGGTGGAGCCTGTTGCCAGGAACAATCCTGGTCTACCAACCAGGGCTGCACTTGAAGCTGAGGACAAGCCTGGAGACATCCTTGGGAGAGGAGGGGACTGGCTTCAAGACTCAGGACTCCTAGTCTGTTGTAACCACAAAGAATCTCTAGCAATAACAGAGAACCAAGTACATGTACACTTTCTCCAGCAAGTGGTACTCCCCTGTCCATTGTACAGATGATGCTGAGAGGCAGGACACCCAGGTGGGGACAGAGACCTGTTCAGAGAAGTCACAACGTGTGCAGTTGATATCCCTCATTGATGGTCTAAGAAATCACAGAGTCATGGAGGGAAAAGAGAAGGAGACACAGGGAGCAAGAAAGGAACATTGGTGAGTTTGTGATGACAGTGGCATGAGACTAGAGAAGTAGAAGAAGCACAGAGTAGATTGGCCTATGACTAGGGCACCTCTTCAATTCTGATCCACCTCCTGCAATCCCTGACTGTGTGACTACTAGGGTACAGACAATGGGTCAGCATCCTTAGTGATGCAAGGGACCCATTAAAAATTTATCACAGAGTTTTGAATTTTTCATGATGAATCTTTTAAATGCGGTTTCTCTCCATGTATTTGAACCAACACTTACTTCCTTTACAAATGTGATTTGACTAAAAAAAAAAAAAAAAAAAATCATGCTTAGAGTTCCACCAGATGGAGTGCACATCTGCTGTGTAAATTTAAGGCTACCAGACTGGTAGCACAGTCAGGTAGTCAGGTGTCACCTGCAGCATCTGGATGAGGAAGGAGCTGAGTATCTACAGCCACTTAGGGAGGAAGCTTCATTGGAGCATTAGTTGTCAGGATGAGGGATGCTACAACTGGCTCTGAGTGAAGGTGCCTCCCATGTTGCTAGCGCCCTAACTTAGTCACCTGCACAGACGCCTCCCATGTTGCTAGGGCCCTAACTTGTCTTCAGCCCTTCAAGCACTCCCTCTGCTCTCCACACACACCTACCTCAGAACCTTTGCACCTGCTGCCTTGTATGCCTAGAATGTTCCTCCTCTCAGGGAGCCCTCAGTCTTATCCAAGCACCACCTTTAAACCCAGGGTGCCTTCATCATCCACCAGTGCTCCTCCTGGCTTTGTTTTTTCTGTTGACTTTCTTCTCCCACTCTGTTGTTGTTGTTGTTATGTGCCGTCGAGTCGGCCCCGACTCATAATGACCCCTCCCTGGGTTTCCGAGGCAGTTATCACTACGGAAGTAGGATTGCCCAACCTTCCTTCCGAGGAGTGGCTGGTGGATTTGAACCACCAGCCTTCTGGTTAGCAGTCAAGTGCCTTAGGCACTATGCTACCAGAGCTCCTCCCACTCTAGGTAACCCATATCCCTGCTATTAGGTGATATGCACAGAGCAGGTGCTGAACCAACCAAGAGCCAGTCTGCCCTCTTCCTGAGCTGAGAGTTAACATTCCCCACCAGTGTTTGGTGTCCTCAATCCCCATTTGTAACCCTGCTGGGGACTTGTGTGCCTCAGGAGGAGGGCCTCACAGGTGTGCCTTGGATACTTCACAGCCTCCTCCTTCTCTCCCAGGAAGCTATGCCCCAGACGTTTGTCTTCTCCAGCATACTTACACCCAGCTGTAGTGGACAGGGGCAGCCCAGCATGGGGGAGTGCAGCAGCAAGGGTGGCAGCATTGGCTCCAGAGACCTCATCTTCCAAGATGGACACCTCATCTCTGGGTCCCTCGAGGCCTTGATGGAGCACCTGGTCCCCACGGTGGACTATTACCCCGATGTGAGTGCTGGAGCTGGGGCTGGGTGCAATGGGCAGGGTGCTGGGAGGTAGTGCTGGACACAGTTCACAGAAAGCTGAGAGATGTTCCAGGTGGCAGTGCAGGGAAACAAAGGCATATAAAGGAAGTACTCAGACACCAGACTGCCCCTCCCACCCTCCCAGAACTGGGACCTAAGTTCTGGGCAGAGCCTGGGGGAGGAAAAAAAGTCTCAAGGGCAAGGCCAGCACTTCGCGGCCCTGTGAGGCCTCAGCATGCTCCCTGGAGCCCATTGCTAGCTGAGCAGTTGTTGTCTGTGCATAAACTGCCTGTTGGGGTCCACATGACAGCAAGTGCAGGTCCTTAGGTAAACAAGAGGACCTGCGTGTACATACATACCTGTATGGATGTGGGTGCACTGTGCTTTCAGAGCACACGCCTGCTGTGGGCAAGACTGGTCACCAACAAAGCAAACTGGGGCCCATGCCTTCCTCCCTTTTCCCTCATGATGATACGAGTAAGTTTTTGGAACAGAGAAATGAGTTCCTTTCATCTGTGCTTCTCTTCTGCTTCCAATGGGCAGTGTCTTCTAGCATATTGGACAGTGTAACCTCCCTGTTCCCTTTTACTGAGCTGAGCATTGCTGAAAGGTGAACCTGTCTGGGCTTCACTGGTCCCTCTTGTGTGTTCATGGAAGGTAGAAGAAGGTTTGCCAGAGCCATGCTTGTTGGTCTCTTTTAATAGAGAGTCAAACACAGTTTGCAAGGGAGGGAGGGAGGAATCAATGTCCTCTAGCTTCCATCTATGGGCAGCTGAGTAAACTCAGCTTCCAGTGGCCCTGGCCCACCCTGGTATGTCCAGTTCTACTCCTTCCTTCCTGGGTATTCTAAGAAGGACTTGTCTCAGCATTGCCCACTCATTCGTCCACCTGTCAATCCATCCACCCACCATCCATCAATCCATCACCCCACTGTTCATCTAACCATTCATCATCCATCATTCTATCCATCCACCTGTCCATCCTTCTGTCCATCCAACTCACAGACACACTCAGGGCCCAGCCAGAGCTGGTGGGGGTAGTGCTGAGGGCCCAGGTAGCTGAGGTGAAAGGGGAGGGCCACAGGCTCTGAAGATGCCCAGGGCAGGGAAGAATTTCCTTCTTAAAGGATTGCCCTAGAGGGGCCTCCTCAGCTGATAGTTACCTGGTATCATGTCCCCAAAGTACTGTGCCATGGGGGGCTGCTTATCAGGAGAGGGCAAATAGATGGTGGCAGGGCAGAAAGGAGGGCTCCACTGTGTGTAGGCAGGACCAAGGTCTGCAGCTCGTCTATGACAAAGCAGGGGCATGGGTCAGGCCCAAAGGTAGGCCATAGGGCTGACAAGGACATGCCAACTTTTGATGACCCCATTACAATTAGGAGGTGGAGCAGGCTTGCAACCTAGTTCAGGGAGCACTGTGGGGTGAACACCAGGTCATCTGGCATAGAGAAGTACACAACATTCCCAGGCTGGGTTATCTCACCTTGTGATGAGATAGGAAAACGCCAGTATAGAAAGGCTTCTTTAGACAGCACTTCTCAGGAAGGCTTTGCAGGAGGTGGGAGAGGGGACTTGAGTTATGCCTCCAAAGTATGCAGGATTAAGGTAGGAGAAAAGACGAGATGATTCGAGGTGAAAGAGGAGCAGGCATAGCCACCGAGGGTTAGTTGGACCATGTTGTGGGCCTGAAGCCAGCCAGCCTGAAACAGTGGCATGAGCCCATGTAGGTGGCCAGTGTGTCATGTCTGACCATGGTTTGCCCTCTCCCTATCTCCTTTCTCCAGAGGACGTACATCTTCACGTTTCTGCTGAGCTCCCGCATCTTCATCCCTCCTCATGATCTGCTGGTCCGGGTGGAGCAGATCTGCCTTGAGCAGAGGCAGCAGCTGGAAGCAGGCCCTGACCAGGTAGGGTCTGAGTGGGCTGTCTATTCCTCTACCTACCCTCTACCTCACCCCACGAGTGGAGTCTGTTCTGAGTAGCTGGAATGGCAGGCCCAGAAGGGGGCAGGTATTTTTGATGGCTCCCTTGGCATCCCTGAGTATGGCCCCTCAGGATATAGAGGGTATGCTCCAAGGTGAGCACTCATCCCAGGTGAACATAATGGCTCTTGGTAGGTACCACACCTCTCCTAGGAAAGACTCCAACAGACAACTTTGCCCAACCACATGTCAGTGAAAGGACCCCTGAAATCTGAAGTCTGAGTACAGGTCATATAAAAGAAGTCAGTGGGGCCCATGCCTCAGCCACTCTGTGTAGGCAGGGCCAAGGGTCAGGTGGAGCACACCCAGCAGCACTTGCTCATGGTAGTGACAGAATGCTCAGTGACCTGCACAAGGCTGTTTCCATGACTGTCCCTGTCTTTGGGTGGTCAGGAGGGTGAGACCACCACATCAGCCACTGGTCTCTGGGGGACAGTTTACTATGGAAGATGGGGCATCTCTATGGCATGATTTGTCTGGGGACCATCCTTGAGGTATGCTGCCACACTCCAGGAGGGCTGCATCTGGACACTCTGGGGTGGCTTGGCTGTAGCACAGTATGGCCTTTCCCTATTTGCTAATGAAATTCTGCCCCCTTCATCCCCCATGAAAGTTTGCAGAAGAGGACTATATACTTGCCATTTCCCTCAGATTTCAGAGTCTTCTCATAGTAACTGGCATGGGTAGGGCTGCCCAGGGCTATGGCTGGGGGAATAGGATCTTTAGACTCAGCCTGCTACCTATCTGGGCATCTGTAGGGTGTCATCCTGCTGCACTGCATACCACCCTGTACTCAGGTCAATGAGTGGGTGGGAGCATGTGGGCCAACACAAACACTTCTAAGGGATTCTGGGTGGAAAGGGAGAAAAACCATTGATGGCATGGGGACATAGGGAGCATTTGAAGCATGGGTACAGGCAGCAGGGCTATTAAGACTGAAAGGAAAGTAGAGGCAACACTGGAGCCAGGCCTGAAGTTGAAGGTAGAAGGGCCTTAGTGTCCACCCTAGGTACGGAACCGCTGAGGAGGTAGCAATATAGATGAGGGCCATGATGTTGGGCTATGTGCCTTAGGACTGCCTCCTTACAGGGAGCAGAGGGGCACACTCGAGACATGAGGGACCTGTGGGTGGACAACATGGTGCATGGCATGGCGGTGGGAGGAGGACACAGTGGCACAGAGGGTGGGGCTCCATTTTGGGGGGTAAAACAAAACAAAACAAAACTGCAACAACTGCCATGGAGTCAGATCTGACTCATAGAGACCCCTCTTTGGTTTTCTGAGGGGATATCCCTATGGAAGTAGATTGCCCAACCTTCCTTCTGGGCAGTGGCTGGTGCATTTGAACCATCAAGCTTTCTGGTTAGCAGTCAAATGTCTTAGGCACTAATGCTACCAGAACTCTGATTTTTTTGCACTTAAAAAAAAAAAAAAAAACCAACCAAACTCACTGCCATTGAGTTAGATCAGATCCGACCCATAGCGACCCCTCTTTGGGTTTCTGAGGCAGTATCACTACAGAGGTAGATCTCCCAATCTTACTTCTGAGGAGTGGCTGGTGGGTTTAAACTGCCAGCCTTCTGACTAGCAGTCAAATGTCTTAGGCACTATGCCACCAGAGCTCCTATGTACCGAAGTCTATCTAAGGCTGAGAAAGACCCATTGTTTCTTGCCCCAGATGGTCAAACACTTAGGCCAGTCCCTGTGCTGCTGGTCCCAGGCTGTGCACAGTGCCCACTCTAGGGCAGGCGGTTGGAATGCATGGACCATTGTTCATGATTAGTCTATAGTGGTTCTTCCCTGGCTTCTAGCCTTGGCCAAGAATCCTGGGAGTAGGATGTCTGCCTGTGTCCTGCCCCTTCCCTAGCATGTGCTGACCTTGTTCTGACCAAGAGAAGGCAGGCAGAAACCTGACTTTAATGATACTGCTCAGCTTTCACTGTGCACTTTGCTGTGGGTGACTTTTAGATATAGCAAATGACACTAGTTTTCTTTGTAATGGTAATAGTGATGGGTAGGTTTTTTTTTTTTTTTTTTTTTAATGAATTCAAGTGAAAAAAATGATTTAAGGGAAATAAGAAACAAACAAGAGTTTGTAAGTGTAAGCAGTTCAGGTATGGCTAAACTGCAGGTAGCTGGTGGTGGGGGTTGGAGGTTGATCCTATGTGAGGGTGGTGCACCTTTTGCCATCTTGTCTTTTCTTTTCTGGGGTTCACTCTTGACCCCATCATCCCAGGCCACGCTGAAGTCTTTCTCAGCCAAGATTGTGCAGTTCCTGAAGGAGTGGACTGAGACCTTCCCTTATGACTTCCAGGAAGAGAAGGCCATGGCCAAGCTGAAGGCCATCACTCACTGTGCCACTCATTGTGATGAGGTGAGTCCTTCTCTCTGCTCACCTAACAGGCTATGGTGCAAAAGTGGGGGATCTGCTCCCATAGTACAATTCTATATGGGTGATGGGTCTGAGAAGACACTGGACTAGCCAGTCCCTGGTAGCTGGACTCACCTCTGCAAGTGGTGGTTAGAAGGGCAATTGCGGTAAGAATGTGGGCTGGCCCAGGCCCACCCCTTCTGACCTCTCACACCTTGTCCCTGGAGCAGGGGCCTCCCCAAGTTGTGTAAAGTACACCAGCTCAGAGGTTAGAAGAGCTACTTTGCTTATCTTGCTCCCAGCTTGCTCTCAAACCACTAATAGAGACAGATAGGCCCACCACAGGAGTCCTCTGTACCAGCTACCTGCCAGCAGTGGGGGTGCTAGGTGTTCTCTGAAGCTCCCGCTGCCTGAGTGCTAGAAAGTCCCAGGGATCTATGTGTAGTTTGGGAGACAAGGGGCATAGGAGGAGGCTCCTGGCTATTTCTGATGCCTTGATGCATTTCTCAGGCTTCTCCTTCAGCAGTGCAGCGATAATGGGGACCCTAGCTGACCCACATCTTTCAGATCCAAACGCAACCTTGGCTCTACCCTCAGCACCCTCCACTGAGGGCATCTTCTCCTTTACCAGCAGTCCCTGTGTCAAGGAGCCCATGTCTACTACAAGCAACTGCCTCACTCTGTCGTGGCAGGTGACAGCTGTAGGTCTTCCCCGGGGTCTGGATATGGGGGCTTAGACAGCAAGTGTGCTTGCCATCCCTCTAGACTTGCAGCTTGCTTATAACAGTGCCCTCATTCCCAACTGTCCTGACTTCCCAGGAGAATGGCACTGTGAAGAAAGCCATCACCCAAATGATGCAGAATCTGCTGTTGTCCCTGGCCACCCAGAGCCAGTTGCAGGAGTTCTGGGAGAAGTTCCACTCACTAGCCATGGACAGAGGGCCTGTCCTCAAGGCCAAGCCACCAGCTACCCAGAAGGACATCCTGAGCGTGTGTTGTGACCCCCTGGTGCTGGCCCAGCAGCTGACCCACATTGAGCTGGTCCGTGTAGCCCTCTTTATTGCCCAGGGGTGGGAGTGCACTGCCCAACCAGGGCATGCTGGACCTCAGTGTTGTCCTCAACATGGCACCCAAGGTCCATCCTCAACCCATCAGATCGGGCTATCAAGGTGCAGCCCACTGGCCAGGCTTGGTCCCATGTGCCTGGTTAGTAGGGATATAGTATCCTAGGGAGAAGCATGAGCTGAACCAGCAGGGTCCTGCTATTGGAACTGAAGTAGCCCCAGGAAGGAGGGGAGATGGCAAAGGGATTTACATGAGAGAGCCAGATTCTCTCCCCACCAATCCCCTCACCTTGCCCCTCCCCTAACCTGGAAAGTGACCCTGCATGTGGCAGCCTCCAATACCCACTCTCCTACCACAGCTCTATCCTTTCCCTTCCCAGAGGAGGGCCTCTCAGATATATGGGATTCATATGGGGTGATATGGCAGAGGCCAAGAAAGGTCATGTCCCCAAACTGAGTAGGCAAATTCCATGCAGGAAATGGCTGAGTCTCATTCTTGATGCTATTCACTGCTCCCCCATGGGCCCAGAAGTGACCCTCCCTGGTATGTCTGACCTACTCAAGGATGTTGGGCTTCTTAACCCTACCTCTACCCCAGGAGCGGGTCCACAATATCCACCCGGAGGACCTGATGCAGATCCTCAGCCACAGGGAATTCCTGGACAACCAAAGGGTAAGTGGGGCTCCAAAGCCCCTGCAGCCTCCATGGAGGAGGTGTCTGGGGGTTACCAAAGGACCATATGAGTGATACTTGCTGGGAGGAACTCAGGCTGGAGTCAATGGGGCTTAGCCCTGGTCTGCCCTGTGAATAGGTGGAGCCAGGCCAGACTTGAGGACCTGTTAAACCTACCCTACCCAATTCCTCTGGCCTGGCCATGTGGATCCTGCTTCTTGGGTCTGGCAGGTGGGGCTCCCTATGACCTGGTGTGTATCCTGCAGTGCCAAGGGGACCAGACAAAGACCTACAGCCTGGAAGCCTATGACAAGTGGTTCAACTGCCTCAGCATGTTGGTAGCCACTGAGGTGTGCCGGGTAAGCCAGTGCACATTGCACAGCCAGGGAGTGCTGCCTTGATGCTCGATAAGGCCACCTGGACTCAGATTCCTGCTCAAATCAAGTGATAGGATGAAATTGTAAAAGTGAGTAAATGCAGCCTCCACTACCAGGGCCTACATTTCCTAGCCTCCTACATATCACAAATGATAATGGGAATAACAGAGCCACTGTCCAGCTCAGGCTCGCACTGTGCCCAGAACAGTCTGATATCCTGTTCTATGGTTCCTCTAGCTTCACAGCATCCCTCAGGATTGAACACCTCTCCCTTATATAGTCTTCCACCCAGGCTGCTTCCCACCTGTCTTGTTCTGCTGAGTAGCCTGGAAACTGCATGCAAAGTTGGGGTCTCCAAGTCAGTGCAGCACTGAGGGATGGTGGGTGAATACCTCTTCAGCCGTGCTCATTGTTGGCTCCCTCAGGTGGTGAAAAAGAAGCAAAGGACCCGCACGGTGGAGTTCTTCATTGATGTGGCCAGAGAGTGCTTCAACATTGGGAACTTCAACTCTATGATGGCCATCATCTGTGAGTGTCCTTGGTGCTGTGGGCCTTCCTGCCCAGCCCTGTGTGAGCAGGTCTGCCCCTCCTAGCCCTGACCCCTACCTGCTGTCCCTGCAGCTGGAATGAACCTCAGTCCTGTGGCACGGTTGAAGAAAACTTGGTCCAAAGTGAAGACAGCCAAGTTTGATATCCTGGAGGTAGGCACCACCACATCCTCAAGTGTTCCTGCCCCATTCTGCACTGGCCAGAGAAAGGCTTCCTCCTGACAACAGAGAAGGGCTTTCCCACCATACTGAGTTTTCCTCCACTCCCTAGCACTGCTGCCTGATGTGCATGTATTTAGCATGTATGTGCATGATTATGGATATATTTACCTGGCTGATGCCTTTATCTGTAGAAGGCAAAATCATTTAAGAGCTTCCTGGCATTTGCTGCTTAACTAGAAATCAGCATCTCCCAAAGCGAGTTCCATGGGCAGGTAAAGTGTTCTGAAACAGAGCAGAGCCACAGTGCCTGAGTCTGAAGAGTGTCACTAATTCACGTCTTCTGGCCCTGTCCTGGCTGAATGTCTCATACTTCTTGAGAACCTGGGTTGCCCAGATGCTGACAGAGTTCATTTGCAGTATTGTCTAGATATATTTGACAACTGAATCCATTTTATGTAAACATTCATATCTTGTGGAAGTGGTCAGCTTTGGGAGGTATTGGTATGGACAGAGGAGCAAAAAGGAAGGATGGAGGGATCGCTGCAGGCCATGGCAGAACAGGAGAGGTGTGAGCTGGGAGATATCCTGCAAAACTTTCCTGAGGTCTGTTGGGCTTCTCCTGAAAGATTCTGGGCCCTAGGCTTACCCTTCTCCAGTACTCCCTCTGGAATGGAGGGGGTATAAGGCCTCTCCTGGTAACAGTGTGGGGCCACCCACAGGAGCAATGTCCTACCAGTTTGTCTTCAGGTCTACAAATGGGTTACCCTGAGCAGATCTCACAGAGGATAAGGAGAGAAGAGCCCCTAGGCAGGCCTCATGCAGTATCCTTCTATATGCCCTCTTTAATAGCACTACATGGACCCATCCAGCAACTTCTGCAACTACCGCACAGCCCTGCAGGGGGCCACACAGAGGTGCCAAATGGCCCACAGCAGTCGCGAAAAGATTGTTATCCCTGTATTCAACCTCTTCTTGAAGGACATTTACTTCCTGCATAAAATCCACACTAATTGCCTGCCCAATGGGCAGGTGAACTTCAAGGTGAGCTCCACCCCCTGGGGGTCTGAAGGCAGGGGCTGGCTACTGCCACATAGCCAAACCAAACCAAATTCACTGCAATGGAGTAGGCTCCAACTCATAGCGACCCCTCCTTGGGTTTCTCAGGTGGTATCACTACAGAGGTAGATTGCCCCATCTTCCTTCCAGGAAGTGGCTGGTGGGTTTGAACCTCCAGCCTACTGGTTAGCAGTCAAATGCCTTAGCACTACACCACCAGGGTCCCCAGCATAGGCAAGTACAAATAGTTGCAATCCCTAGCTTGGTCATCTCTGGGCCTGAATGTTTTCTGAGCCCTGCCTGTGGAGCTCAGAAGAGCCTTTGGGATCCAAAGCTCCAGGGTAGGTCATGGGCTTCCAAAGCCACAGATGATTTTTGACAAGGAGAAATGAGGTGTGGCCCCTGCCCTTGTGGGAGCCACAGGACTCTGTATTTAACCAAGACCCTGGTTGTAGTGCTGGCCTCACCAGGGAGCTAGAGGAGAGGACACCTCCAGGGTCTTGGGGGCCAGGAAGGCTTTAGGTAAGAAGGGATTTAGACAAGAGAGGAGGTAAAGGACTCCAGATGAAGATGAAGAATCTACCTGGGATCTAAGGGCTCTTGGCTAAGGGGCAGTGGGCAGGGCCACAAAGGTGATTGGAATGTGAAAGGGAGTCCTTATGCCAGACTTTCTGAGCCGACTATACACAGACATGGGGTAGGAAGGAGCAGTGAATTTTCATATGGGCCAAGAGTGTGATAGATGACCTTTTTTGGTTGGTGTGCCACGCTGGGATGGTCGGGAAGCCTACTTTAGCCCTGGGCTTTCCAGGGAACAGGCAGATCCTGCTCCAGCCTGGTGGCCTGGCAGAGGGCAGGACAAAGTGGCCCAGGGACACCTGCTGGCTACATGCTTCACAAAGTGCCCACACTCGCTGTTTTGGGTGATCTCTCACACAAAGTCACCCATGCAGGGCCACAGCTCCATTTCAGTGGGGCCCAGGAAGTTAGTAGCAAAGCTAGACCTAGAGCTAGGGCCCTCATCCTCTGGATTTGACTCAGGATCTGAAACTTAAGGTGACACATGAATTATCTAGTTGGTTTCCTGCTCATTCAGAAATTTTGGGAGATCTCCAGACAAATCCATGACTTCATGACATGGACACAGGTTGAATGTCCCTTTGAGAAAGACAAGAAGATTCAGAACTACCTGCTCACAGCACCCATCTACAATGAAGAAGGTAAGGGTGCACCTCCAGGGCTGCAGTGTTCTCAACCCCCTGCCCAAGGCTCCACGGCCACCCTGGAGACAGCCTGATTATTATCCCACTTTGCACAGGGCCAGCTCAGCTCACAGGGATGACTGTAGTATGGGTAGTGGGAAAATGTGACAGAGGAAAGGTATTGAAAGAAGAGAAGATTGGACCCTAAGGGTCCCTCTAGAGAGCCAAAATGTGGTCAGGGGTAGGATCTGTGAAAACAGGGAGACTTCCCAGGGTCTACGGGATAGCCTGGGAGCTTCAGGCCCCATGGGGAAAAGTACTGTGTGTAAGCCCAGGCCACTGTCCCCTGATGTGGGGATTCCTTCCTGGGCCCACATGCACCCTTAGAATGGAGAATTTGAGCAGGAAAAAAAACTGGGTGTGAACAGAAGACTGCCCACTCATCGACCTTGGTTCTGAGGGGGCTTTCCTGTCACACTCAGCTCTTTTCATCGCCTCCTTTGAGAGTGAAGGTCCTGAAAACCACATGGAAAAGGACAGCTGGAAGACCCTCAGGTAGGAGAACTTGAGGGTCAGCCTGTGAACCCCTTGGCCAGTTCTGTTTCAAGTCCATGAGGAAGAGAAGGGCAAGGGGGAGAGAGTATTGGAAGCCCAAGGGGAGGAGCCCATCATGGATTTTGCCTGTTGTAGGAGACCAAGGACATTTCCATCCAGGTCAGTTAGAGGAAGCCCTTCCACCTGCAGAGCTTCAAAGCATTAAACTATTACATTATGGGAGGTTAAGGAATGGCTTCGAAAGTCCGTAACTGATAGCGTAGTGTCTAAGGCACTTGACTGCTAACCATAAGGCTGGCAGTTCAAACCCACCAGCCATTCCTCAGAAGGAAGGCTGGGCAATCTACTTCCGTAGTGATACCGCCTCGGAAAGCCAAGGAGGGGTTGTTGCTATGAGTCGAGTCCGACTCTATGTCACATAACAACCACAACAACTTCTCCCGTAGTGGCTGTTTCCTGGAATTGCAGCCCCTTGCCCTTCTCAGAGCATGTTCCTGAGTTCCCAGCTGCTTAGAGGAAGGAGCCAACAAGCCTCTTGCTGCCTAACCATTTCCTTTTTCCATACCCACCTTTAGGACCACTCTCCTTAATAGAGACTGAAGATTCAGGATCCAGCCTGTGCAAATGAAATGAAGTAAACAAATGAGCATGTTTTAATCCTGATTGAGAAGAGTTTAGATGAAGGAGGCCTCACTGGTTGGGGTCTATTTTGTATATATATTTTATGGAAAAAAAAAAAAAAAAAGGTAATTATTTCATGCATCAACCTTTGTCCCTTACAGAAAAAGTTTTTGGTTTATTAAAAAAAAAAAAAAAAAACAGGACAGGGTCCTGTTTCAGGAAGCAGGGAGAGGGGGGAGTATCATGGGAGATGGCATCCATGATAACATCTTATTCTAATGAAATGTGCATTTTTTATTTTCTATTTTTGATTATTAACATCTTAAAGAAAAAAATAAATAAAACAAAAACACAACCAAAACCATGAGCTCTACCTTCTTGGATGCTTTTCCAGCCAGTGCCTCTGATGTTGAGGTTAGTGCCTTAGAGGGTACTAAAAGGGTCCACTCCACCTGCTCCGCCTTTTAGCCCAAACTGAACCAGGAAGCCAGGGCAGACACTGGAAAGTTCTGCTGTGGGGCCCTAGGCTCCCTGCCCTCAAGCACAGGTCAGGTTGTAGCAGGAAGGGTTGGGGTAGCCAGAATGTCTCATTTGCATATTTCTGGCAGTTAACCTTTCAGATTGGGCTTTCTAAAAATTACATATTATTTTTCTTTTATCAGGGATTTGTGGGGTCGTGAAGGGCAGGTAGACTCTAGATCTGCACAGAAGCTACAAGTCGCCCCAATGTCAGCACATTTTCTGTTGGAATATGTCTAGCAAATTATTCCTCAACTGAATTATAGAAAACAAGAAAATCTAAAATAGTGTAAGGGAGGGAGTTGTGAAATTATTGCCAGTTTTTAAGGCTGTTACTGAAAGACACACTTAGTTGTAATGAAGAGAATACTATGGCATGGTGACATTTAAAGCCATTTTGTAAACCCAAGTACAAATTGAAAATGAACTATTTCATAAGTCAGGTATTCTTGTAGTCTGCATTCCTGACCTCCTCTGAATGGGAAACTCCCTTAATCAGAAACCTGATAACAGAAATTAGCCAAACCATTAATTGCTGGAGCCCACTCAAACTTCCTAGCACTTAGAGACATATTCTGCACCCATATTAGAAGCATCATTTTCATTCTCCCCTTCTGATGGCAGAGCAGGTGGTGGCATAGTGACATGGCTCTGCTCCCTCAGACAAAGGCGTGCACTCCATCAACTTGTCTCTGGCCCCTTGCAGCAGGGTTTTGTTCCTTTTTTTTTTTTTTTTTTTTGCAAACAGACTTGGAACTAGTCATCTTTGCCTCTCAGCATGCCTTTCTGCAGCAAGAGCTTTGAATTGGGCAGCATGGGTGAGATGGTAACCTGGAGTTGAGGCACATACAGGGTAAGCCTGCTTGCCCACCAATGCTGGGAGCCTCACTTAGGAAGGACAGGTGGCTATGTATAACCTGCTGCTAATATTTCCTTTCACCCTGGGTTGAATAATACTATCTGCACTGTATTATTACAGTGTGTTTGCACTTTTCAGATGTTCTAGGTAGTACATATTGTATACTGTTAGTACATATTGTTTTATTTATGTATTTGAGATAAAGGCTTAAAACTTGTGAATATATATTTGAAATACAATGTTAGAACATTCCTGTACATGTGTTAAAGAGCTTTTAATAAATGTGCACTTCACTGGATCATCAGTTCTAGTACCTGCTTGAAATGCTGTTTGTGTTTGCTACTTTATTTTCTTAATTTGATATGCACCCTATATAGGTTGTTTCAGTATTTTGAAATGAACTGAGTGTAAAGCTGCACTGCAATCCAGGGTATCAGTTCTCTGTGTGACTGGATGTACTTGCATCAATAAAAGGACATGTTACTCTTCCACAAGTTCCTGGTCTCAGTGTACACAGTCCTAAGGGGAGGAGGAGACCCTGCTGCTGGTGCAGGAGACGCAAGGTGTGGGGTTACTGAGGAGGGTGAGACTACTAGTGCCCACCACCGATGTCAAAATGGACTAGACAGGGAAAGTTTATTTATGATTAAAAACAAACAACAACCAAAAAAAGAAAAAAGAAAAAAGAAAAAACCCACAGCCAAACCCATTGCTGTTGAGTAAATTCTGACTCATAGTGACCCTATAGGACAGAGCAGAACTGCCCCATAGGGTTTCCAAGGCTTTATAATCTTTACAAAATCAAACCACTGACCTTTCAATTAGCAACCAAGCACTTAACCACTGTGCCATGAAGGCTTCTTCACATTTATGGTTACCTTTACCATATCCAAATCTAGGCACATTCTGATAAAAGGGATTTTCATATAAATAACCTAAGCCTAAAAAAAAAAAAAGAAAAGTACACATGGATTGTGCTAGTCCTGCTTTCCGCAAAAGGTGCTCCCGTGAGACATCACTAGCTGTTTGTATTGCATGGTCACAAGTGAAAACAGACTCATAATGGTTCTTTCACTGTAGGACTCATCAGAATGTTCAACCTGGTAATGATCACTGCAAATAACTATGGGGAAAGGCAGAGGGTATGGTGCAGGTTAGAGAGCATCTGTTTGCAATTTCTGCAGAGCAGTGTGCAGAACAGTTTTAGATGGGCTCTTTCTGTTGTAATGAGTTCAAGAGCACTAAATAAAAGGGGCTTATTGAAGGGAGCTCTGGAGGTGCAATGGTTAAAGCATTTGGCTGTTCACCAACAGGTCAGTGATATGAACCCACAAGCCACTCCAGAGAAGAAAAATGAAGCAGTCTGCTTCCATAAAGATTTATAGCATTGGAAACCCTACGGGGACTGCTATGAGTTGGAATAGACTCAATGGCAGTCAGTTTTGGTTTATTGAAGGGCACAAGAAAGCATGTGGAGTTAAGGGAAAAGAGTTGAAACCCTAGAACCAGAACGGGAATGTCTGTATGCTTCTCTCTATGCCTGCCTAGGCTGTATCAGGCCACTCATTACAAGCTCTTACTGAATCTTACCCTGCTCCTTCAGAGCTAATTCACTTCACTTTCAACGATGCAATCAGTGTCTATAATTCCCTCTAGACTAAGTGCTGCCCATTAGAACTTTCTTTAGTGATGGAATGTTCTAGTAAAGTTAATTTTAGAAAGAAGATCAATAACGACAAAGAGGACTCAAATAATACCATAA